CAATTGCTTTAGCGCAAAAGACTTCATAAGTTCTGTAAGAGACTGGAACGCTGTGGTAGTGACGTTGTTTAAGTTAATATTAAAATCTCCCAGGCACACAACACCATCGCTACTCGGTAGAACTTCCATTAGTGCATTTTCGAGGGATTCTAAAAATGGATTTACGTCATATCCATGAGGCCTATAGATAACGGCAATTGTCAACTTAAATTTATTTATCTTAATACTTATCCATAATTGCTCGATGTCACGTGATACCGACGGAAATGCCCATTTGTCAACGTGATATGAATTTTTAATATATAATCCTACACCGCCTCCCCTTCCCCTATCAATTCTCATGAAATTGTAACCATTGATCGCCACATTATCTGTCGGGGTCTTTTCAGTCAACCAAGTTTCCGAGATCGCAAAGACATCACAATCAGCAGCTTCTAAGAAATGGACAAAACCTGGAAAATTTGAAATTAATGAACGAACATTTAAATGACCAACCTTAAACGCTTTCATTTTACTAACCATAAGCACTAGCTTTTCTTAATAATACAATAATACAAACAGAAACAAAATAAACAAGTTTCTTTGACAAAACAAAGTGAAATAAAAAAAAGAAAGAAACGCCATACGCAATACGCATCCATCCTGGCCATTAAGAAATTTAAACACAAAATAATCGCACTTTACAGATAAAATTAAATTCAAAACACCAACATTGTTTTTGCTTCCCACCTAACTCAATGCAATTTTACAGATTAGAGGTAGCCGGAGGTAGCTTAATTCTTTATAAAGTTTTTCATTGCAAGTCCAAGTTCCTGTAAATCGTGCACAATTCGTTTCTTGCCATCCGGTAGGAGAACCCATACGTTACCATCTCTCGTCCAGGTAGATTTGTTTCCAACCCCCTTTTTTGCCTCCTGATACAGTTCAGAAGGAGTTTTGGTGAGTGATTCGGTGATTAAATAACGAGACCCCTTTAACTTCTTTTTGTTGATCCACACTGTGTTTCTTTGAATGTATGAAATAAATTTCACTATCACTGGCCTCGGTTTGTTGTTTGAGGTATTCATCCGGCCTAATCTGTGACAGTTATCAAAATCGCTAACGTAGAGGTTATCAAGCCCTAGCTGGTCCTTAAAAAAACCAAGAGCAATGTTGCATATCTCCTCATCCTTCTTTTCTTCTATGCCGTGAATAATTAGACAGTTTTTCCGTGAGTAGGTTTCTTGTGCATCTAATCGACGCTCCATATCTACCAGATCATCTTTCAACGCTGTTATACACTGACAGATATCATTTTGAAATTTTTTGAAATCTGCCATCAATCTTTCCAATGCCGATGTCTTTTGGGGCTGTTGGGACTGGGAATAATTACTCACAACATCTCCTAAGCGACCTTCGTACTCCATCATGGTGCTTTTAAACGTATCCTCCAAGGATTGCAACTTGTTTTTTAAGGAACTCATTATGCCGGATTGTTTAATTAGTTCCGTCGAAAAAGGTTTTTAATTATTTATATTAAACTTTAAAGCATGCACGAAAAATTCCAAAATAGCGCAGTTTATCAACAGATTGAAATGAATACGACCGGTCCGCTTGATAGGTAATTCGTATTCGCACGGCACTTTAGTAAATCGCTTTTTAATGTAACGTCTGCACTAGCTACTTCACTGCAAATATCCGAAACAGATAGGAAACTGTCTTATTTCACACTATGGCAAGATTTATTAATTAACTTTAGCGATTAACTACATGGCTACATCTATTCCTTGTTTCCTTAATTCATCGTCAATAGCGAACATCACTGAAACTTTAGAAAGAGAGGGAAGTTCTACACATTGCTATCTTTGTCTACACGTCTACCAACATGGGCGTGCAATATAATCCTAAAGTTATATTGGTACAATGGTTGTAACTAGACGTTCTATAACCTTACTTCCTTGTTTACTTTTGTCCGTTTCGTTTGTATTGTACCTTTTGCACTCGCTTTTACCCTTATAATCTTAGTTTCTGCTTTTACTTTCACACTTCCGTCGCATTTATACCTTTCTTCCTATTACCTATTCGTATTTTTCGCCTTTACACTTCCAATCATTTATTTTCCAAATACCCTACAAAATCTGTCTTTTTGAAGACAAAACTATCTAGTTCACGTCCATTTCATGTAAGTAGTACCTAAGTGTTTTTATCTAACTTGCTAATTAAATTTGTTTAGATTTGCAATAATGGCTAAATGCTTTTACAAGAATTGTGAAAATACGAAACGATCAAAGAGAGGCTGCAATCTTCGTTATCATCCATTCCCGAAGCCATTTCGTAACATGGTAAAATGCTTAGTTTGGTTAAACAATTGTGGAAACGAGGACTTAAACATACATAATATAACAAAAAATGTGTACGTGTGTGAAAGTCATTTTCAAAAAGGTTTTGCTGATCCGGTACCGTATTATTTAACAATTCCCATGGAATTGGCTAGGAAGCATAGAAGTTTCGAAGTAGCGGAATATGTAGAAGTGGCAAATGTTGAAGAACAATCTCGAGAACAACAGCCTTCTTTACACGATGACCACCCATACAACAAGGCTGTACCTTCTACGTCACACGTTGATTATACTGAAGCGACTCTTAAGCAAGAACCTACTAATAACTTCATACAGGACTTTTTCCTGTATGCCTCCCTTTCGAAAAGTAAACATTTCAGTTTGTTTACTGGATTGAGCGTGAAGGCTTTTGAAATTTTATATAAATTGCTGGATGAAGAAGTAATGCCTTCACTGAAGTACACATACAAAGTGAGAACTCCAATTAGAAAAAGAAAACTCATGATGTTATCAGATAGAGATAAGTTATGCTTAACACTTATTCGTCTACGAAGAGGTTACACTATTAAAGAACTTTCAATATTTTATAAATTGAGTGAAACTTATGTGTCAGTCATATTTTACACTTGGGTGCGGTTTATTTACCTTCAAACATGTTGTTTTCGTAACGATTTGATAAAGGGATCCCGTCAAACAGAAAGACATTATATGCCAGCTGTATTCCGAACATTTGAAGACAAAGTTACAATAATTTTAGATGCCACAGAAGTTTATAACCAAACTACGCAACTGCATGAATACGAAAACCTCGGATTTTGACGTCACTTTCGGTAACCGGAAGTAGGAAGTAGTCGTGTAATATATCGCTGTAAAGGTATTTTTAAGAGCTATAACAAAGATCAGAAATGTTTCCATAAAAACTCATAGTTCCTGCAGAATAAGGCACTCCCCATATTAAGTAAGGCCGTTGAGTAAAAATAGTAAAGAGACGCAACTGTATATAAAATTGCGATACCCTTAGACCTCTTTCTTTCTCTAAGGCGACACCTATATATCTATCTCACTTGCCGTAGTTTACCGTGCTGCGCTGACTACAAACAATTTTACGGTTAGTGCTGCCATCGTATTTTAATTTTGGACTTAATACGATTACGAAAGTGTGACGTCATTCACGTCTTGTCCCGACCCCAAACAGCTGATGGGAGTTTGTTTCTTCACTAATTTTTTCCTTCCCACCTGAATTTCCTCGCTGATCTTTTACTGTAGCGGTGCGTTTTTTTGTTAGTGCCGTATTAATCCTTTTTGTGGATATTCCATAGGTTTTTATGTAGGTGTCACGACAAACTTCCATTTCTCCAAGTGTATACATTCTGGTGTATGATTTGCCAGGTCCTTCCTTAGCCCGTTTTCTTTTAACTGGTGCTTCTTTTACTGTTGCTCCAATGTAACTGGTCTGCAAGTCATACGAAGCTAAATCCCAAAACCTTTTAAACAACGATTCTTTTTCCTGTGCAGTTAATTTTTGACCACAATCTTTTATACATTTGCACTTGTAATTAACGAAACGTTTAGCTTCTTTTAAATCTCCCTTGACAGTATAGTGAGTTTTATTTGAGTCTTTTTCTGGTTGCGAAAGTTTGTCCTGGATATTTAGTGTGCCTTCCTTTCCTAGGTCGTCCCTTCCAAAGTTATCGCTCCTCCTTTAACTTTTCTCTTCGTTCAAGTTCTTTTTCATTGAGTAATACTAACTCACTTTCATTTTCCTTTGAACTACTATCACTACTATCTTCCTCTGGTTCATAATCACGATCTTTAACACTATCATCTGAATATTCATCGAAGCTGACAGCATTATCAACATCAAATGCAGCTAAGTCGCCGGAATCTGAAGGATGTGAGGTTTGAATGGTTGGAACTTCCTCAACAATTACTTTTAGATTTGTGTTGAAAGGATTGTTCATTTCCACATCACTGACCATTTCTGAAATAGTTGTGATACGTCATGTTTTTAATAAGTATTAACAAATTAATGATGGAATCTAAAATACATTATAACTAAATGCGTATTTTTACCTGATATACTCGGGTTGAGAGGCTGATTAATTTCTTTAAGTGGATTTTTTAAAACTAATATTTGGTTTACTATTATTTTGGGATTTTCTTTAGTAGTTGCTGATTGTTTATAATGTTGATCTGTATATTCAAGCTCTTCATATGATTCCTAAAATCATGAAAAAATGTAGTGAAACAATAGCGTTAAAACTAATATTTAAAACGAACCAAGCGCCATACATGGTGCTTGGTCCCCTTTATAAGTATAGTATTTTTGTTTAAGAGAAAGCAGAACAATATGCTGGGTGTCGAAAAGTAAAAAAATTTTACAACAATTAAAAGGTATTAAGTAACTTTGTACGTTAACAGTGCACACTTATTACAAAACGGAATAACGCAGAAAATTATAACCTAAAAAGTAATGTACTCGTACATACCTTACTGCAATCTCCCAATTTTAATTTTTTTGACTCTTTGCTACACTCAGTAATTGCTAACGCCGTCTGTAGTATCTTTTTCGACCTTTCACTCATTTTTAAAAGTAATAAAAACTTAATTTCCACACAATTTTTAAAGTCTATTTAAATATGTATGAAACACTTAGACCCAACTGCTAATTGCAAATAAAATATGGTGAAGGACATGGCCTGGGTATGTGAATTGCAGAGTAAAGGAGCCTGTTTGAGGTTGTGATGAGACACGATTTGAGACTGTCAACCTTTAAATTAACAAACGTCAATTAATATTAATCTAGAAATGCCAACAAGACAAACTTATTCTTATTCCTGGATAGTAAATAATGAAGAGTATTTAAACCTTCCCCTACTACTTGGTTGCTATAGAAGCTGCTCCTGTGGTGGTGGTGTTTACACGGCTTTAGTTTACCCTGAGATTCACATGCCCACGACTTCAGAACTCGCTATCGGTGACCACTTATTTTGTATTGACGGCATAGGTCTAATAGCAGTCCATGTACTGTATGGTCTAAGATGAAACATCACGACTACGAGCAACAGTATTGTCACTTTGGCACGAGCAATTATTACAATGATAAAATGCTGTAGAGGTTTTTTCACTTATAATTGCACAAGAGGTTTGTATTTTACCGAGTAAATTTGGGTCGTTTTGGTAATGAAAATCTGTTGCCTAGCAATTACACGAGAAAAATTGTCGACTAATAAAAATGCGAACCCGAAGGGTCCAGATGAAGCATAATAGCACAACGGCATCTTCCAATTATGCAGCACGAATTAGAAACATCAAAGCTGTGTCCGCAAACGTTCCATTTCTTCCCAAATGCGCTAAACCTTCATATCCCCCAATAATATCTTGCGACTCATTATATCGTAATAGACCATTTCCATCTACGCCATTGTTACGTCACATTACACGCCTACCACAGCTGATTGGGGTCTATTGGTACACGTGTTCTTATGCCGGTATTTCGATTTTTCCCGTTTTTTCTGAAAACAGTGTGTGTATTTGGACGACTTCTATCGTGGTGGTAATCAAAAATACGTGCATTGTTGGCGTATACATAAATTACTACCGAAAAGGATCAAAATAGTGTAATTTTACGATCTGGTACGTATATAACCTCCATTGCTCGACGCGGATTTTTGTATTCAGTTTTTCAGTTTCAGAAAACGATGTTCGCAAAACTTAGCGATTATGCGCGACAGTTAGGAGAAGCAAATAAGAAGTATTTGGACAAAATAGCAGTTCTGAAAGGCACGGATCCATATTCGTTGTCGGTCAAGACATTTATTCTGGCATTGGATAGTTTGCCAAAAATAACAACAGAGGCTATTACAGACTTTCTCATTTTTCGCATAAGTTCAGAGAGTCAAAAAGATATCCGAGCATACAAGTCGTTGGATGCGTTTGCACGCAAATGGGTTGAAGATATCAAAGCCCAAGAAATCAGGGACTGCTTATGTATAATTGGAAAAGTAAGATGAACAAATGTGATTAGTACTTAAGTATTAATTTTAACACACACTGTAGGTGATGCATTCACAAAAGGTTAATGAACCTAGCCTGAATGTTTGGATAACGTTGTTCAAAAGTGGACAAATTTTAAACTGCCACTGCATGTGTGTGGCAGGGCTTGAAGAGGCATGCACTCATGCTGCTGCAATCTTATTTGCATTAGAATATGCAGGTAAACAAGAACAGTCTGTAACGGACGTACTGGCATATTGGATAGGACCAAAAACAAAGAAACAGTTTCATAAAAAAATAGTTGACACAACATTCCAATTGCCACAACGAGTACTGCAATCTGGCGACAAAGACATACTGCCAGTTGCAATGGGTGCTGTACCAGAAATGGCCGATACCGAAGATGAAGAATTTTTGAAATTGTATCGAGAAGACGGTGGCTCGTGCGTTTTACATACATACTTCAAAGAATCGGTCGCAAGTCGTTGGCCTGACTTATCTCAATTGTTCGAAGAACAATTTGTAAACAAAACTTTAGAAGAACTCCTGGCTGTTGGGGAAGGGTTATGTTTAGACATAACAGACGAAACCCTGATAAACATTGAAGAAGCCACACGAAACCAAGCAAAGTGCAATCTATGGTTCGCATTGCGAGCAGGACGGGTTACAGCGTCGAATTTTCGTGCTGTATGTGCAACGCGTGTACAAAAACCATCTATATCCTTATTAGGGGAAACCGGTCAAATACCGCGCACTTAAGAAATTTTGCTTGTAAAAAAGTTGGGTTAAAGATTTTTTAAACGCGCTTTTGTCTACTGGTATGTACATGCGTAAGGTATCTCATGATTACCTCACAGAAAGTTTAACTAACACCTAATTTTATGTAAAGTGGGTAATACCGCGCATTTAGTGGGGAAATGGCGCGCAGTTTATAAATATCATTTAGCTTGCATAACTAGGGTTGATTTTCTTTGTTGTTAAATAAAACAGTGGTATACATTAATTTGTTTAATTTAAACTTATAAACGGTAATAAAGAACGATAACATAAACGATAAAATGTATTTTTTATTAAATTATTGTTTTTTTAACTTTTTATTGCTGGAAAGGCACAGGTCGCACGTATATTCCGCAGCCGTGTCCCATCCACTACATTCGGCGTGTGACCAGTTTTGCACATAGAACGCATCGGTACCACATTTCTTGGTTTTTTCCGAATTCTCCACAGACAATGCACACATCCGTATTCAAAGGATCGACATCATCGTCTTCATTATCGTCACATAACTTCTCATCAAAACTACTAGCGTTGCTACTTGAGTCATCACCTAAATGCAAATTTCTGACATGTCTGGGTTTTTGGATTTTCTTATTAACAGATAATTTTCTTTTTTTTTATTGCTTAACTTTTTCTGACTTACTTTTTACTCTTGCCTGTTCTTCCTTTTGGATCTTTTTTTCTTTAGCCGCTTCGAGCTGTTCCTTTAGAGGAGTAGACGTCAAAATTTCGGAATGCTTTTTTGTTCGTTTCTGGGCAGACGTTTTAAAAACTGATATTGGAATGGGTGAAAGTATTTCCAACTGCTTACGAAGTGGAGAATTCTTAGTAACGACAGGAGCCAAATTTTCTAGCTGCTTGAGTGGGGAGTCCCTATTAACAACACAATCTCTTGACGGTCCTGGTTTAGGTTCAAGGTTGTCGCAGTCTCTCGATGGTCTTGGTTAGGGATGGGCGATAACTGTTTTCACCTATCGATAAGTATCGGGTACTTACCTATCGATATATTTTACTTATCGATATGCCGATAATTATCGAAATATCGATGGTTATCGATGAAATAGCGATAACTATCGATATGTCGATAGTTATCGATATATCGATAGTTATCGATATATCGATAGTTATCGATATGTCGATAGTTATCGATATGTCGATAGTTATCGATATAACGATAGTTATCGATATTTCGATAGTTATCGATATTTCCATAGTTATCGATATATCGATAGTTATCGATATATCGATAGTTATCGATATATGATTACTATCGATAGGTATCGATATATCGATAGTTATCGATATATCGATATGTCGATAGTTATCGATATGTCGATAGTTATCGCTAGGGATGGGCGATAACTGTTTTCACCTATCGATATAAGTATCGGGTACTTATAAATCGATATATTTTACTTATCGATATGCCGATAATTATCGAAATATCGATGGTTATCGATACACCGATAACTATCGAAAGATCGATAACTGCCGCTATATCGATAAGTTTCGGTATATCGATAGTTCTCGTTATGGCGATAGTTTTTAATATATAGGTATCGATATAATATTACCGATAATTTTTTTGAAAGCGTGTCTAAAAAGTGCATGAGTTTACTTTTATATTTTGGCGAAAGAGCCCGACAAGACAAGAGGGCTCTTTTAACAAAATATGAAAATAACCCAATGCAGTTCTTGCAACTTTAATGGACTTACCATATTAAATGTGCAATTATCGCAGGGCTCTTTAGCTTTCTACAATGCAATTACCGCTGTAATTAAGCGGTAATTGCACGCCTCATTTGAGAGAAATATTCGACGTATCGATAGTTATCGACAGGGATAGTTATCTTATCGAGTTTTATTAATAAAATCCATTTTCCGGTTTATTCTCGTGTAAAGTGACTATTAATAGTTACCTACTCGACGTTTCTTTGCTACCTTTATCAAGAGTTTTTTGTTAGATTTCGTAAATGTCAATCAATTGAAACTGTATATCTAAATTTGAAGTGTTCTTAGCTTTTTCTGTTTTTTTGTGACTGGTCCTCTGTAACCATCAATCAGGTACCGATACATAGGCCATGATTACACGCTTTGATTGTCTTCTTTATTTTATCTAAAGAGTAGCCATTTTGATGCAACATTTTGTTCAAGTTTTTGAAGTGCTTCTTTTTTTGAGCAATCGTCAGTAAGACGAAAAGATCTATTTTCTAAAGATTATATTACTGCGTTTATTTGGCATGGATGATGATGTGACGTAGCGCTTCTCTTGAGAAAGGGAGCAAAGTTAAGTTTCCGAAACGTCGAGCAACTAAAAATAGTAAATTTACACGAGAGTAAACCCGAAAATGGATTTTATTAATAAAAATAGTAGCGCTCGTTGAAATCTCAACAATAACATAATTTTATCGTACCAATAGTTATCGATATATCGATAGTTATCGACATATCGATATATCGATAGTTATCGACATATCGATATATCAATAGTTATCGACATATCGATATATCGATAGATATCGACATATCGATAGATATCGACATATCGATAGATATCGACATATCGATATATCAATAGTTATCGACATATCGATATATCGATAGTTATCGACATATCGATAGTTATCGACATATCGATAGGTATCGATACTTATCGATAAGTATAGATATATCGATAGTTATCGATATATCGATATATCGATTTTTTTAGCTCTACCTATTGTTATTCGATATATCGATAACTATCGATACCTATCGATATATCGAAAAAAATTCCCATGCCTAGTCTTGGTTGAGGTCTGCGAGTGTCTTTAGTTTTTTCTTTTTCAATCTTAGAATTTTTTTGGACTATTTGCTTCCTTTGTGTCGTTTCTTCCGTCTCATCGTCTAAATTCACTTGCGAATGGTCAAGCACTATGTCGTTTTCGGGATTTGGGCCGAAATCATCTTCGGAAAATTTTTCTGGATTTATTGGCCAAATACCAGCAGCTTAAAAGCCAGAAATTCCTTTGTCCATCGTAGCAACTTTTATGTATGCCTTGTTAAAGATGGATGCCAAGTCGTAATGCGTCATTTTTTCAAAGGCTTTGGTTCTTATGTGTAAGTCACATTCCCGATTAAATGCATTTTTCAAAGGGTCATACAAAGTCAGATCGAGTGGTTACATGCGGTGGGACGTGTGGGGTGGAATGGACAGCATTACAATTCCATGATCTTTGCAGTAATTATAAACTACCAGTGAAATGTGGCTTGAATGATTGTCGAGTATCAAAAGCACGGGGTCTTCTAGGCTCGCTTTGATATGACTATTAAAATGTTTTGTCCATTCCAAGAAAAGCCCTTCATTAATCCAGCCATTTTTTGAACAGTGATAAACTGCTCCAGGAGGACCATTTTTTTGCAAATGTGGATTCATCCTTTGTCTCGGGAAAATAAACATCGGTGGGATATATTGACCCAAAGTACTCATGGCACAAACAACCGTTACAGTTTTTCACCGTTCCCAGGATATCGCAGATCCTACTTGTTTTTGTCCCTTGGGTGCAAAAATCTTAGCTGGCTTTTGAACGGTCGAAATCCCCCGGTCTCGTCGACGTTGAAGATTCGACTTTCTAGAAATTTATATTTGTCCATAACTGATATCAGATTTTGGAAAAAGCGATCCACTTCAATTTTGTTAAATGCAGAGATACGATTTAAGCTAGTACCTTCCGGTTGCCTAAGGCTAATAGTAGTGTTGCGCCTTTAAAAAAGAGTTAGCCAATCTTCGCCAGCCAATTTCTTTTCGGAATCGAAAGGGTGCTTAATATTGTTTTCTTCGGCGAAACTGTAAGCTAGTCGGCGCAGTTCAATCGGAGTAATCCCAAAGAAAACTTTTGCCAATTTTTGGACGTGTGTTGATAAAGCTTCTTCTTGGGCTTTGTTGAATACAGGATTTCTTCCCAATTTTGCTGCATCCGAATTGTTAGACTTTAGTCGGTCACGTAAAGTAGACTCAGGAATCCCAAAGGCTCTTCCTACTTCCCGAATAGCTCGTCCATCTCTTATAGCATCAATTGCTGCCCGCAACTGTTCTGGAGACCAGTTGCACTTTTGCGACTTTCGTTTATATTTTCTAGTCATGTTATCTAAAAAAAAATACAGATTATTAACTTAACATAATAAGTAATATGGGGCAATACCGCGCCCACACGTTATTGCCCCGGAACTATCGCGCGGCATTCCCCCAAACGACATGGCGCCATTTCGCCCCGACCCACACAAAAAGTAAAAACTTTGGAGGGTTATAAATAAAGGAAAATAAGGCTGTTAATATACAAAAGCGTATAAGACAACAACTGTACACATAAAAGATATACAAAACTTTGGCCACTTACCTAAATTTTCGTAAGGCGGCGGTTACATTGGATAAGAATTCGTACGAAAATTTGTTCGTACGAATTCGTAAGAAATCGTCGGAAGTAAAGAAATGAGTATATTGGCATGTTTGTGGTTATATTGCTTACGATCATTTGTTAAGAATTTGTACGAATTCGTACGTGTTTTAAATACGACCAAAATATTTTGTTTTTTCATAGTTGTTCGTACGACTAGCTTGCGTTTTGTTGTGTTTTAATTGAATTGAGAACATGGATTGCGAAATACTAATAGCTTTGGTGCACGAACGAAGATCCCTATGGGATCAAAAAAGCAAACAGTATCACAACAGAGAGTTAAACAAGAAATTATGGAAAGAAATAGCAGGTCAAATGAAACTAGGAGGTAGGTATATTCATTTTAATTTTATTCATTTTAATAATTTTATGGTATACAATATGATGTTGCATTTCTGTTTTAACACAAAATAACTAAGTATCGCATATTCCTAAATATTTTCAATGATTATTGAAATATTGCATAAATTGGTTTCTAATGTCGTAGGCAGTAGTAGTAGCCCTGTTAAAATTTCGTGTTCCAACGTTTCTATCGCATATTCTTTGGAGGTTTAAGGATCTCGCTCATTATACCAACACAACACAACACGTCGCCGGCCAGCGCTGGCCGACGACGATTCGGCTTGCGCTC